TAATAGCCTATTTTCATTTGGCAAAAATTGGCATTTATAGACATTTTTACCTCTACATGCCTAATAATGTAAAGCATGGTTATAAACATCTTCAAAATATGCCCCAATGCTGTATTTTCTACCTGTCCACCCACTCACATTACAGAAATTCATCTGGGTCTGCAAATATGGCATTTCTGTCTGTAAATACCAACGGAATTCATGTGGAGCTGTTCTCAAATATTTGGTAGCCCTTCGCTGAGGAGCAGAGACATATTTCTGCTTCCGTCGGACACAACTCGACTACAAATCTTTCTAAATTGACCAAGAAATGAAGAGAACAGTTACATCCAGGTACAATAATCTTGTGCTAGGTATTCCTTCCCTAGTGCTAGTGCTCACGCGATTCTGTGTACTTTAGCAATTGCTTGAATATCAAATGATAATTCAACATTTCTATGTCATTATGTACAGTAATCTATGTCATTATGTACAGTAATATAACATATATAAGCATATTTCCTGAAAGCATTTGTTTTTATATTATATACATAATTAAATGGTTTGATTTACTCTCCTGTTTTTGAGTATTCCTTTTTTTCTGTTTTATAATCAATAACTCACAGGTTGATGAAAACATTGTACCAAGCATTCAAAAATGCTTTAGGGTCTTGTTCGTGCATTTCATTTGATCCCTCAGAGGAATTCATATCAAAATCAGACAATTTTGACAGAAACAACTTCCCTCATTGACACAGCCTAATGTTTCACATAACACTAAATATGCACCCCTTGAAATTACTCCCTATAACTTTAAAAACTGAATTCCAGAAGAAGAAAAAATATTCCAGCATGGCAAATATGTTTGTAAACTCCTGGTGTGTACACACACAAGAGTGCTAATTGGCGTTGGTTTACAGAGCAAATAAGGGGTATTTTAAAGGTTAGGTGAGGGTCTGTTAATGGGTACAGACGTCAATGAAATTCTTAGCACCTCAACTCATGTACCGGTACCTGTTTGAGTGATTGGATATAAAGAAAGAGAAGTTTACTTACTAATGCAACACTCTATATATCTTCTGTTGAGAGCCAGAAAGGGATTTACTTACTTCATTGTATGATGGAAACAGTTCAAATCACTTTTTGGTCTCTAAGCTAACGATTCAAACATTTTGAGTTGATAGTTTAAACTTAATTTGCCTTGCCAATAGTCTACCTATTGGGACTAATATCCTGACACATTTAAAAGTATTATTCTACCTCTGAAATATATGTAATTGTATATTGTCTGCAAAGACTCCATAATTGCTAAAACACTTTTACACAATTTATGCCCTTCTAGCATTTGGGCAGGACTCAGCCCTAACAGGCGCTTGGACACATGGGCACCCAAAATCTACATCTGGACCCAAAAACGTTCAAATCTTAACAAAGACTCTAGTAAGTTCCTTGGAGTATTGTCTTAAGATTCAATGTTCTACTTAGAAAGTTTCTAAGGTGTATATGAGGTCTATGAAATTCGAAGAAAAACATTGCAAATTACACACTATAAGCATATAGCACACTGCAGAGGCTGATTAAGAATATTTGGGGATTGTTCAAATTTATCTAAAATTGCTTTAAAAATACACTTATTTATAATAAACAAAAACAAATTCATCAAATTCTGAAGTAGGTCCTAAACAATATGTTTAACATATCCGTTGGTATTTCCTACCTTTTCACATTATAATGCGATTATAGGTTCTATCTGCACCTACATTGGGTTGTAACCCTGACTATGTATTAATCTAATCAGATCAGATCAACATAATCCTTATAAATTTACCTGTTATTCTTCTTTTTCATGAACACAGGGGCTTACTGTCATGCCCATTGGATCCACTTCCTCTCTTTCCCCTGCCCCTCCCTAAATCCCTTTTTATGAACAGCCTAGATTACTTTTAATGATATATTCCATATCTTCTTTATTCCCCATAAATTCCATACCTCATATTCAAAGCTTGCACTATCTATTGAAAGAATTCCAAATCAACATCTTATCCTCCTTCCATCATGCACATAGTGCCCCCTCCCCCAGTTTGCTCTCTACCCCAAGCTAGGGGCAAATTGTTGGAACAGTTAGTTGCAGACATTTTTTTAGAACCCCCAGATACTTTCTACCAGTACCACATAATCCATTGGCGTCTGATTTTGGTTTGTAGTTGTAGGCATTCTGCTGCCATTGCAGTGCCCACTGAATTCATATCTAGCCCTGACAACATATGGAATAATCCCCAATCATATCCCACATAATCCTTATAAAGTCATTATTCTTCCTCACCGTGCACATAGAGGATGACTGTCATGATTATTGGAAAATTTGAAAACATGAACCCACCACCTCCTCTCTCTCACTCACTCACTCTCTCTCTCTCTCTCTCTCTCTCTCTCTCTCTCTCTTTCCCTCTCTCTCTCAAACATTACCTTCTAGTACATAATCATTCAAAGTCTGAACTGGGTTTTGCTCCGTCTACTTCTGCAGTTGACTGACACAACAACCCCCCCCCCCCCCCTCCTTCCCCTCTCTAAAAATGGCTTCGAAGTGGGACTGTTATATTCCTAAAATCTAATCGTCATTTTTAATCCCCAGATATATCTTATAATATAAGCTGGTTTTGCTCTACTTCAGCAGTGGCTTGAAACATGGGCTCCAACTTCTGTAGTTACTCGAACAGGGGCTCCACCAAGGGCCTGGGAGTGGGACAGTTATATTCTTATTTAATCTAACTGTCATTTTGTTTTAATCCCCAGACAGTCACATTCCCCACCAACATAATCCTTCTCAGAGCCTCCCGTTTCTGTTCTGCTCTACTACCACTGTGCTAAGGCATGGTCTTGGGTCTTTGTGCTGGTGGGTCTTATGTCAGGAAACCATGAATGGACTAAGCTTGGGATCAGACTGGATTGGGCTGAAAGACAATACCTGGGATGAGATGATTGCTGTAGACTGATGTGATTAGGAGAAGAGAGGGAAGGGGAGGAGAAGGGAGAAGAGGTAGAAGAGAAGGGAAAAGTGGAGGAAGATGAGGAGGGAAAGAGGAGGGAGAGGTGGAGAGTGGGTGAAAGAGAAGGAGAAAGAGAAAAAAAAAAGGAGAAAGAGAAGGAGAAAGAGAAGGAGAAAGAGGAGAAAGAGAAGGAGAAAGAGGAGAAAGAGAAAGAGAAGGAGAAAGAGAAAGAAGGGGAAAGACTTGGAGGAGGGGGAACATAGAGATAAAAGGGACAAGAGAGTGGGGAAAGAGAGATGGAGAGGAGGGAGAGAAGGAGAGAGAGAGTAAAGTAGAGATAGTGAGAGTACATGGACAGTACAGGGAGAGAAGGAGAGCAAAAGATAAATAATGAGAAAGAGAAGGGAAGAGAGAAAGAGAGAGAGAGAGAGAGAGAGGAGGGACGGAGAGGGGGAAGATGGTGATGACCTCAAGAACATAGTTTACATTACAATATTAAGACTAGCGAGATGAAGGGGAGAAGAGAAGAGGGACATCACTCTGAAAGAACCAAACATAACCGAGGATAACAAAGCCTATTCTTTAGTGACATTGAATCATGAATAGACATTCGAAGTAAAGTCAATAAAGAGAGCCATGAGAGGGGTAACATTAATCGAAAAAAGAAATTGACAAATGACACAGAATTGTAAAGAAGAATAGAGGGACAAAGAGAGGGATACAGATGTCTATGGAAGGATAGAGCAGAACAACATGTGGAGAGATAGAAAGAGAGAGGGAGAGAGAGGGAGAGAGAGGGGGAGAGGGGGAGAAGGGGGAAGAAGGGGGAAGAAGGGGGAGAAGGGGGAGAAGGGGGGACGAGGGAGAAGGCGAGAGAAGAAAAGGAGAGAGGGAGGAGTATGGACAAAGATGGAGAAGAAAAGAGATATAGAGGTCAAAGAAAGATTTTGAGAGAAACAGATAAACAAAACCAGACAGAGAAAATGAAAGAGAGAAAGATGGGCAAGGAGAAGAGATGAGAGTGGGAGAGTATAAATATAGTAGGTATATGATGAGAGGGAGAAAGGGAAAGAGAGAGAGAGAGAGAGAGAGAGAGAGAGAGAGAGAGAGAGATGGAGAAGATAGAGAAAGAAAGTGAGAGAAGGGGAAAGAAAGTGAGAGAAGGGGAAAGAAATGACAGCAGCCTAGTGGGGACAGACAGGAGACAGAAGTGAAGTTAGCGACGGTAGAATACAGCCAGACTTGGGACGGACCTCATACACCTGATCATGAATTGAGTGAAGGGGGTTATCCCAGGTGTTCAAGCGATAATACTCTAATTTGGGCACATTTCATTCTAGCCGATCATCATCATCTTCTGTAACACGAGGAGGTGCTAGAAAGCAGTGCATCGGGTCTCTGTTTCCACTATCCTCTCTTGAGCTTCTCAAATATCTATTCTCTTATATTTCCCTATACTCAATTACTCAATCTCTGAAAAGGCAGTGCTGGAATACAGCACATGAGGTTTGCCTGACATATCAACAATAATGTATGCAGACTGGATACCAAGTATTTTAGTTAATTCATTAATAACAGGTTAATGGAATAACTCATCACTAGGTCCCCAGGAAAAAAACATGTATAAATTTGAATCTGCTAGTAAACTGGTCTATTGTCATCTGTTAGGAGCAAGAAGAGCATCAACTCCATGTTAGAGTAGCAGGGACTTAGTATATAATTGCTCCCCACATTTTTCATTGTTTTTACCTTGCCTGTTATATCTACATATTTCAAAATTTCGTACTTATTTTCTATACATTATACTTGATTTAAAATCCTTAATTTTTAAAAAAAAATTCTTGTGTGAAATCTACTCTTATATAATAAACGCCTGTATAAAAAAAAATAAAAAAAGAATTTAAACTGTTTTTTAATGTAAAATGTGGAATAAATAAACTTCAAGCTTCAAACTTCAATATGAGTTAACACTCTTCTGGCTCCAAAGTTCAGATGACTTAATATCAAATTATCAATATAAGTTTGTTTTCTTACCAGTGTTGAAGGACACGCATTCAGCAGGGTACCCATATGCTTTCTCCTGCCTGCTGTAGTAGATTCAAGCACCATCTATAACACAAACAGAAACAAACATTTAATGATTGAATAATGATAACGATAATGAAACAATTATAGTACCTAATGAACATCAGCTGTCTGACATATACGACACAGTAAATCGCCAAAACAACAAGTACGGGTGATCAGAAAATTGGCAGCTAACTTCAGTCTGCCAATTTGTGTCTGAGGGAGATGTCTGAACTCTAGACATTGAAACTGTTACAGGTAACTTTTAGTGTTGGATGTGATATAAGACTAAGGCTGTGCACAACAGTGTAATGAGGTACCCGAGTACACTCCCATGCTTACAAGCGAATACTCGAGTATTCGGACGCCATGTTTTTTTTTGAATTTTTTTTTTTGCCACCACCATACATACCACTGGAGCAGTATCCCAGTTCTGTCGCCGAAAACGCATGCAATTTTACTTTGAGTTGCAGTTGAAGGCGCCGATTTAATAATAATAATAACAGTGAACAATGCTGTTTTAAAAACCAAAGATGGCAGAATAATCCATTTTCCTCCAAGTCCAAGCAGAAATCCAGACATTTGGTCCCAGTTTCTGAGTGGTGAGTTTGAAAGTGCTTGAGTTGGGAAACATTTTTACCGACGGCACCATGCCAGCGGCCGCTGCTCACCCAGGCACGGGTAAGCGTCGGCCTGGACATATTTTTTTTTTTTTTTGCGGCCGAATATTCGGGTACGAGAAAACTTACCCGAGTAGTTGTTAACCGTGCAGGTACTCGAGCATTCGACTACCCTTCACAGCCTGATATAAGACCTTTCAAACCAATAATAGTAATGACAAAACTAATAGTAATAGTAACGCACATTAATCCATTCTATATGTGTAGCTCATTCATCACTCAAACATTCCTGAGGTCAAACGAGCAGGATATAGTAAGTATCAGAACATCATCATTCACCTTCAGAATGCCCTTTTAGTACAAAAGTCATTATATGTCTTAAACACCTTCTGCCACTAAGTCTCATTTTATATTCATCTCCCATTTATCACTCAACCATTCCCAAAGGCCAAAGCGAAATGAGAGAGAAATGTGTAAGTATCTGATGATGCCTGACAGTGAATTTTTGCCCTCAGAATGCCCCTTATTTCAGTGTCAAAAGGTCTCTATTCATAACAAGAACATTCTGTTACCAAGTTCCTATCCCATTTCATATTACTATAAAACTATTGGTACTGAACAGTAGTTACAGGTCTTAAAACCCTTCTGCTACTCAAGTTCATGTTTCATCTCATAATCATCACTTATTAGTCACACAACCATTCCCATAACCAAACTATTAAAGATATTGAGTAACTATCAGAAAGTCACAATCCTTTTAGCGTCCAAACGTCACTACCTGCCTCTTTGCCATCATTATTCTTTTTTAGTATCACTTATTAAGAACCTTCTGCTACTAAACTTCATGTTCTATTTCATAATCATCGCTCATTTATTAGTCACGCCTGCATTCCCGAGGCCAAAACGAGATGGATTGAGCTAGTTCCTTGCATCATCAACCGGACAATTCAAGTAAAATTCAGGATGGTTTCTGTGAATGATGCTGACATGCCCGCTGACGACCCACCTCCATCTGTCGCAGCCAATCAAGGCCTACGATAACCCGAGTTACACGCCAGACTGATTCGGGGGTGCAGTCCATCAATGAGCCTGTCCTCATCAGCTCGAGATTGCCAAATAGCCCGCTATTTCTGATTTGGGAAATAATCCCAAAGTTACAAATCACGTCTTTATCAGCTCGTGATTCGACCTTGAGATATTAGCTCGAGATATTTTGCTCAGCGTTAGCGCATAGTGCGAGTCTTCGGTCTGGTGAAGACGTACAGGACAAATAGCTGGATATTTTGCCAAATAGTGGGAAATTTTGCAAACTATCCCAAGATATCTTGGGATGATAATCCCGACCAAATATCCTGCTAATTGCTACTTCGGTCTGATGAAGACGCAAATCAGCTGGATAGTTTGCGATCGGGATAGTTCAAATAGCTGGATATTTTGGCAATCTCGAGATAGTGAAGACACGCCAGACTGATTCGGGGATGCAAGTCCATCAATGAGAAACAGATCGAGATTCAGGGTCGTTCTGTCATTATCATTGATCTAATTCTATCTTACACACCATCCCTCCATCCATCATGACCCTGTTTCACCAAACTTGTTGTCAATAACAAGTTACAATAACTGTTATAGGCTACTGAAATCCTTGCATCTGATTGGCTGAGAACAATTTGTCAAAGAAATTTAGCGTTTGCTTTTGATTTGAAGTTTTATGAAACAGGGCCCTACTTTTTCGGTACAAACAATTTTATTTCATTTGATAAGCATTTCAAAATATTAATCAAACAATATATATCATCTATATTTTGCTCGCATACCTCATTAATTGGATATGTGATGGTGGGAAATGTTTTCAATTACACTCTTTTTCTATTTCTCTTCAGTTTTTACACCATCCTCCCTTGTAATCATGAATATTTCTTTGCTTTTGATTAATGACCCACCATCGTGCTTTTAACTCTTTAACTCTCACTCTTTCCTCGTGCTATGTTTCATTCCTTTCTAAATTCTCCGCAAAATCCACATGGTTTCTCTTTCCATCATTATCCCAACATCTTCTTGCACAGATCCATTCTAATTCCGGCCCAAGTTAACGCCTAGTAACCGCACTCACTTATACCTCTTCATAATTCTCATTTCCAAATCATACACAACATTTGTATAAAAATCAAAATATACTTCAAACAAGGAGGCGTGCTTTGTGCCTACTTCAAGGAGAAGAAAAGAATCATCACAGATCTACTTCTCAAGTTTGACATGTTGAAAAAGTGTACACCATGCATGCTCGACCTAGTTTTAAAAGAAAGATGGACAAATACTCCTTTCTGCTATAAATTATGAATTTTAGTCTTGCTTTCTTACTATCTTACTTTCTCCCACTACATTGCATCGTTCCTTGTTGTCATCTCTTAATTCTCTACAAACTTCTATCCCTCTGTCATTATCCAAAACATCTCTTCGCACAGATCTATTCTAATTCCGACCCAATATTAAGCCTACTAACCCCATTCCCATTCCCCGCCATAATCCTCATTTCAAAATCATATTCAACATTTGTACAAAATTATAAATCCACTTCAAACAGGGGGTGTGTCACATCCCTACTTCAAGGAGAAGAAAAGAATCATCCCTGGATCTACCTTTCAAGTTTGAGATGTCGTGTACCAAAGCTCGACCCAGTTTTGAGGGACAGATGGAAGAAACCAGTAGCCTGGCTCCCAGACTTGGAGTATTCATCCACTCTCTCTCAATGACTGCATGTTTTGTAAAGTCTGCATTTATGAAGAATATTGTAGAACCGAAACGTTTGGGAGGTGTGAAATAGTCATGAATGAATTTCAGACTTCAGAGTCATGAAATTTCCATGCCAAGTAATAATTGCATCAAAACTGACACAGCACTGCATTTTTTTTTAAAGCAATTCATTGGCCTAATTCATTGTCATTTACAAATTAATAACGTTATGTGTTTCATATTGCAAGAAGTTTCAGGGTTTAGTAAAACTGTATAAACTTTTACAGTATTGAACGTTTGCAAATCAAACAATTTCGGTCAGGATTTAGTGTCCATTCTCATAAATGGCCTGATACACTTTCTATTGGTAAAGATAAAAACTAATTTTGTCTGAAAGTCAAGACTACATGTAGCCTATATACGATGGGAGAGGAGGTACACATACAGATTACAGTACGAGATGCTGTGGTATATATAGGCCAAGTTGGGCCAGATTTAGGATGCAACAAATATTTGTCAATCAGGACCGTATCTGGGGCATGGTTAAGCCCAGGTCTTGTCTCTCGAGACTTGAAATGTTGTTTGATTGCCGGAGCAAGCAGCGAGACATTGAACTCGCACACACACAAAAAAAACCTCTTGACGGAATAATGCACCGGTCTTGGAGGATTTCTTCCCCAAATACAGTTGCGGTTTTCTTTTTCGACATGCTGGCTACTGAAGTGCTATGGCAAGAATCTAAAAGAGATGGTTTTTCTACATGATGAGCCTTTCACAGGGGAAGCTCAGAGGATGTGGGGCTGTAAATTTGTTAACCAAAGGTACCAGAGAGATTTTCTGGAACAGTGCCTCTTGTGCCCCTCTTATAAAATCAAGTTTGAAAAGTAAGCTTGACAAAAGGCCACCTTGCCAGACCCTGCAACATGACAAAGGTGACACTAACCTTGGGTTTGATAAAAGCAAGGAGTCTCACTCTCTCATCTCCCCGATAAGAGGGTCGTTTGAAGAATATTTTTGGTTCTAAAACATATGCTTGAGGGGCAGTTTATGGTCAATTTTCTACATCAACCAAATTTCTTTCCAGCTTCAACTCTGTAACAATATACCTAACCCTAACCCTAGCCCCAAAGTCAAGCTACATGTATAACCCAGATGCAATCCTAACCCTAACCCTACATCTGTGATGAAGTAAAGCCTGGAGAAAATTTCACCAGAGCAAATGACATCAGGTCGCCATTGGGGTCAACACTTTAAATGTATTTTAAGAAGAGGTCACTTGAAGGAAAGTTGCATAAACAAGGAAGACATTTCATATTTCTAAAGCAATTAGTTGTTTAATGTGATGGTCAATGTGACTTTGTACTGAGCCACAGCATTCAAAGACCATAGTCTTACTTACTATCCAGCCTTACAACTTACGGCAGTCACTACAAACTCATTTATCAAGTACTTGAGTAGAAGAAAGTAGCAGAAAGTCCATCCCTCGATTCTTTCAAATCAAATCTTGATTTGTACTGGTCACTTAAGAAGGACAAGTTTAATCCTGATGGATTATTCAACTGTCCATGTTCATCCATACCTGCACAGCGCCGAATTCAAGAGTAACCCACTAGCGGACACCGAAGGGCAAGTAAGTCTTGTATAACTTTATGCCTACTTCCAAGGTATGAAATGAAGTTTTCCATGCATCAGGGCTTCCT